ACCCATCCTCTCACCCTGCCCTCAGGGGCGAGCAGTTTACTTACCCTCAGTCGCTCCCCGTGCGGCCACCAAATGCCGCAGTCTGGCTGGGCACGATTCAGGAGCCACTTGTCAAAAGAAACTAACTTTATTTTTAGAACCACACACGCCAAACAAAACAGCTCCTCAGGAAAAACCCTCAGAGCCCAACTGCCACCACCGGCTTCCACACACCTCTCAACCCCCCCACTCCTCCTGCTCTTGAGGGCGATTGGCTGGGTCGCATGGGCGGAGCCAAAAAGTCCCCCAATGAGCAGCTCCGTGGTCTGAAAGGGCGGGGAAACAGCCCAATGAGCATCACCGCAGAGGAGCCAATCAGTTGGCAGCTAGAAGTTTGCTGGGGCCGCTGTGAGCCAATCATCAGCTGGCAGCTGGAAGTTTGCTGGGGCCCCTTTGGCTGTAGCTCTCAACAGAGGTGGATTCCAGAGGGCATGGTTCCCAGCATGCTGCCTGGATAAGCAGAGCCTTCTTCAGACCCACCACAGAGAAGAGAAGGTGAGACTCACAGGCACCTTTCAGCTTCCGACTGGAATTCCACACAGGAGCCTTTGCTGGTGGGGCTGAGCAGTGCGAGGGGAGGGTGCACTGCTTTGTGGACCATTTGTTCACAAAAGCTGGGCCCTAGGCTTTCATGTGCGCCACCTCTGGGGTGTAGCCCAGTCTTCCCAGAGGCCTTCCCTGCTAAGACCCCGGGGCCTCAGCTCCACACAGCACACGGTGGTCAGGGCAGAGTAGGGCGCTGGAACCTGCCAACTCTGGCAGCAACTAGACCCTTTAGTTACAAGGTTTTGGTGTTTTCTTCCTAACAGAAAGACTTTTGCCTACTGACACTGTCCTGGACATAGTGGCAACTTTCTACTCAGACTATTTCAATATTTGCAAGAAATACAAAAATGGGAGTTCAAGGTGGGCAAAACACAGCGGTTACCAGTGAAAATCTACACCCCAGTCCCACACCTGACTCTGCAGCAGCATCTCACACAGAAGGTCTGAAAGCAGAAGACACCTGCACCAGCGGCCAGCCTGAGGACTGGGAAGCCTGAGGCTGTGCCCGAGCCTCCCCTCGACACCCCCCAGCAGGTGGCTGCAGGAGCCCAGACCTGCATGTCCTGGTGCCTGCCCGTCTACACTTTGCTGCCCACACTCTGCCTCTGCTCCTCTCTGGGTCAGGAGGAACTACACCATTTCCAGTACCCAACTTTATGTATGTGCCTGGAATGAAACGTGAATATGTGTGCGCTGGAATTAAAGCCAGAACCTGGGGCCCGTGACAGTGGGCTGGCATTAACCACAACATCCAGCAAGAGAGAGCCAAGATGCTCCACCTCAGCACCAAGGCCTAGCTCAAGAACATACAAGTCCACATGGTAAGAGCAGGACACGGGTGCCGGGCAGCCCACAGCCACATGGTGCTGCCCACTGAGCCTCTGCTTCATTGGCTCAGTGTGCACTTGGTTCCTATAGAATGCACACCTGGTATGGCAATGGCACCAGGGCCTGGAGCCCAGGGAGGACCAAACCTTGAGGGAAGAAGGGACACCGCAGGCAGAGAGAAGAGTTTCCGCAGACCAGGCTGAGGTGTGACCCCTGATGTTTAAAGAGGAAGAGCCTAGTGGGGCTGAGGAGGGGATGGGGGAGGCTTCAGGGCTAGGTATAACCCTGGGTCCTGTGCCAGGTTTCCAGTTTCTCACGGGGGCAGCCTGTCCTGTCCAGAAAGGAGTACAGGACAGGACCCCTTATGAGCCTGCTGGTGTCCTCATGCGACCACCAGGAGCCCATCCCTCCTGGGCCCACACCCACTTTACCTCCACAGAGCCAGTCTGCCGGCTCCTGGCCTCTCTGGACTCTACTCACAGGGCTATCTTCTCCTGACCACCCTGCATGACAAGTGCCCACAGGTCCAGGCCCTACAGAGCTGCCACCCCCACGGGTGCTCAGTGCCACCATCACCCTAAGCCTGCACTGCAGTATCACAGGCCAGAACAGCTGCCCACAGGTGGGGCCTGCAAAAACACGATGGCCCTGGTCTCCTGTGGGACCAGCAAGGGCTTGGGCTAGGACAGGCCAACATGCACACAGAGGCCCAAAGAGTTGCTGCCCTTGCACGGGCGCCAGGTTGCACACTCCCTCCAACCCAGGACATACCTGCTCTCTGCCCTAGGGAAGGCCACTACTGTCTTTAACTAGTTGCCTGAGGAGGACAGGGTTCTGGATACTGTTGGTACTCTCTGCTAACTGCATCTGAAGAAACCAACTCTGTTTCCTACCAAAGCCGGGAAGAGAGGTTACCGCCAAACTCAGGAATTCTCCTGTCTTTCCACAACCACCCAAGGAAAAGAACAGAAAACTTGCAATGTGGGCTGGGGCTGTAGCTCAGCAGCAGAGCACTAGCCTGGCACACAAGAGGCCCTGGGTTTGATCCTCAGCACCACATAAAAATAAATACAATAAGGGCATTCTGCTCACCTACAACTACATAAAAAAAAAAAAAAAAAAAAAGCAAAGAATAGAAAACTTGTCATGTTCTCTGGGGCATGCACTCAGCCTGAAGGCCATGCCCTGGTCAATCCTGGTGCCCGGAAGATGGCTGCTCATGGGGGGTTTGGTGGAGTTTCTTGCTTTATTATTTTGAAAGCAAATACACTGAGGTAAAAGTGACTATTTTGTTTTTGATAGGAAATGGTTCTACGTAAACATTAGGTAAAACGCTATAATCAAGGCCAGGAAAGTAACACTGAAATGCTTGGGACCAGGCTCAGAATGGCGATGGTGAACCCAGGTAAGTGCTGATGAGGCAAGCACAGCTGTGCTAGGAACCTTGAGTGCTGGCAACACCTGAGGACCAGAGAGGTCTGCAGGCCGGCGGTAAAGGAGTGGAGCCCAGCCTGCAGATGGGACCTGCTGTGGAAAGCTATGGGCTTCCTCTGGAGACTGCAGCAGGTAAGAATGCCTGCAACCTTCACTATGCCATGGGCGGCAGGCCCAGGCACAGAACTAGGGCTGGGACTGGGCCTGTCTTTGATGGCCGCTCTATGACACCCACCCCACCTTCCTCTATTTGTCCCTTTGGTGTACCACTGATTATTGCTCACCCACTCTGAAAAATCAGGATCAAAATTGCAGAGCTACAGGGACAGAGAAGCAATCCAGTCTAGTTTCCTGATGAAAAGCATGAAGAACCTGGGAAGTCACCCAAGTTATTGTCCCTCTCAGGAGACCTGGTGACTTCCAAGCAGGGCTGCACTCTTCTCATCAGGGGTAGTGTGCTGACCCTGCCTGTAGCACACAGCCTCTTCCCTGCCCTGCTGGCCCGGTCACCACCTATCCTCACCTAGGATCTGGACAGAGCAAGGAAAGGGACAATCCAAAGCTAAAAAAGTGTAAGCACAAGGTCACCTTCCTCAGCACTCTTGGGCAAGTGTGGGGACTGCTCATTGGAAAGGTTGGAAGTGGGGTAGCTCCTCACCTGGCTGGGAGTAACTGTGGCTTCTGCAGGGGAGACCCATTCCCATCCTGTCAGATCAGCTGGCTCAATGTGAGGCCACCAGCTCCTGCCACAGTCTAGTCCCACCCGGCTTGCATGACTGGCTTCATCCAGGGGCCAAAGCCTCAGTGCAGAGAGCCCTGACCTTCATTGGGTGCCAGGCTCCCTCACCTCAAGTGGCTACTCCAAGCCAGCCCCTTGCTTGTTTCAAGCCATCGTGTATCACGGCCAGCTTAACACTGGTAACTAAGGCCAAATGTCCCTCTGCAATCCATTTCAAGTGCTAGGTCCTTTCCCTCTGCAAACACAGACCTCCTGCTCCCTGCTGGCCATCCCCTTTCTGCCCCATGTCCCTCATACACCTGGCAGCTGCTCCCACCCCCATCAAGTCTTTGCTTATACACTGCTAGTGGGGAGCCTTCTCAGACTCTTCACTGAACTAGCAGGGGGCAGGTCAGCCAGTGAGGTCTGCATTTCATTTTGCACCCAGCTCACTTGGAACCCTATCAGCCTTTCAGACTGGGAAGCCAAAACACCACACTCTTCTCAGGCAGCCCATACATGCTCTGCCCAGCAGAGACAGATGGATTCTACAGGCCAGCACCAGCTGGCCCATGTGCCCTGCAGCAGGACCCCAGGGCTACCCATGGGTTGCACCATCCCATTCTAGGCAAGTCAAAGGCCTTCTGGTCATTTGCAGGGTCCCTGTTGGTGGTTTAGCCCAGTGAATTTTAGTATCTCCTAAATTAAGAGGAAGCTCAAGTATGCTGAACAGGAAGTTATACTGCCCAGGCAGATGAGCAGATTGCTTAACTGGCAGTGAGGTGGCTGTGACCCTCATGTGTGTGCTACACTAGAGACCATGAGAGAAGGCAGGTGACTGAGGAGGTCCACTTGGCCAGGGGGGCCCAGGTGGCAGGCAGGATGTGGAAGAGCAAGGTCTGCAGGTTTCAGCTCAGGGAAATGTCCAAGCAATCTAAGCCTACATTGGCAGAGCCCTTCTACTGCCTGGGGGTGGGCCCTGCAGAGACACCCATCAGCTCTGGTGTTTGCTCAATGTGCAAACCAGGACAAGAGGGCAGGACTCAGCATGGGGCAAGACTGCTGCTCAGATCCCTGAGGCAAGCATCTGTTCTCAGAGGTGGTGCCACACACGACAACTGGGTTCACTGGGTTAACGCTCAAGACCTACTGTGCCTTGAGCCATGTGAGAAGCTACCACACGATTTAGAGGTTAGAAACATAAAAATATCATGAATTAAAAGTGTGCATGAAAGAATAAAATGATAAATTTTAGATAATTCTGAAGTCTATAAAGTTTGATTCTCTAAACTAAGGAATCTGAGCTTAAATAACAATGAGGTTTTCTATGTATTTAGATGTAAATATTACAAACTAAATTCAGCAAAATATGTGCACTAGATACCTGTGCTACACGTACAAGAAACCAAGGATAAGGCTCATCTCCCACACCACATTTACGTGTGTGTGTGTGTGTGTGTGTGTTTATCCCTCATGTATATGACTGTGACATGAACATGACCAGTATCTTCCTATTTGTGCTTCATTCTTCATTAGAAGGGTGAACTTTTGACATGTAACTCTGTAAGAGCCTTTGTTAAGGAAACTCCAAAAGTTGGGTACTTAGGGTGATGAATGAAGTGGCCGGGAGCAGACAGATGCCCACACACCACGCATCTCAGCAGTGAACCGCACACTCGGGACAGGAGGAACAGTTCGGCCAGCCCCTGCATGGAGGCTGGCACACATGGCTTCTTACCTGGACCCTGGTCTCTCCATGGCTGTCCTTGCCCAGAATGGCCACACGCAGAGCTTGTCCTGTGGGAGCTGGAGCCCTGCCTTCCCCACCTCCCTGTGGGAACACAGTCAGCATGTCAGCATAGCACGCTTGCCCTGCCCCAGGTCTAACAACATGGCAGGTGGCACCGAGTCAGCAGTCCCCACGTGTTCAGTGGGCTTGCGATGGAAAGGCGTTGTGGGTGCACAGACAGGACTACAGCACAGGAGCTGCTGCAGGGAATGTGATCCTGTGCCAAGGGCCAAGGGCAACAGCCAAACATGTTCCTTCCAAAGGAGGTCTCCGGTTCACTGGGGCCCCGAGGGCGATGGGGCCAGGAGCTCCACCTCTGAATCCCTTGACCGACTCATCTTCTACCTAGGACTTCATGAGCTCCTCAAACTCATGGATACGTACTTCACGGTTTTCATAACTTCCCAAACCCTCTACCTTTTGCCATCTGTCTCCACTAAAAGACCTGACTCAGTATCATTTCCTTCAGTGTTCTGGTACTCCACAGTGATTTACAAAGACAGAAGTTGAGATGCGGGTGCTACACTGCTGCTTACGGCTCTGGGCCACATGTACCAAGCAGCATGGCCTTGGCCAGTGTTCCCTGGTGTCTCAGGCACAGCCCCTCTTCTGCATGGAGCCACTTTGGACACAAGGAACCGTCCACAGCCCTTGGGGTTCTAATCACCAGTAAAGGAAAAAGACTGCACTCAAGGGTGCAGCCACATGCTGCCAGAGTCATCCTGGCTCCCCTTCCAGCACCACTTGTCTGGGCCCAAGATAGCCTCCAGTCTGCTTCCTTATCCCCATTCTCTGCTGCTGATAAGGACACCTTCCTAAATGGTATTTCTTTTTTTGGTACCAGGGATTGAACCAAGAGGCACTCTACTATTGAGCTAAATCCCCAGCTGTTTTTGTTTTTTTATTTTAAGACAGGGTTTAGTAAGTTACTGAGGCTGGTCTTGAACTTGTGATCCTCCTACATCAGCCTCCCTAGGATCATAGGTGTGCACCACTGCATCCAGATAAGAGCAGTATTTCTGACTGCATCACTTTAAAAGCCTTCAAAAGCTCTCTTGATTTGCACTGGATAAAAATGTCAACTCTTATTAAACGTGGCAATCAACAGTCTCCTGCATCCAGCTCCTACTAACCTTTCCTGGTTCATCTCCCACTGTGGTGATGTACCCAAATCTAACCAGTGGCCTTCCACCTGCTTGCCATGGCTCCAGCACTGGGCTTCCCTGGCGAGCCGTGACTGCCACCCTTGCTGCTGAGCTACCTGTTTGTAACGTGTCCACTGTATCTGGCTATCACATCACACCTCCAGCTCTGGAGGTTTCTGTGGGGGCAACGGTGGATCCGCGCCAGCACACTGAGCTGCGTGTGACCCTGTGTTCATGGCTGTTGACTCTAGAAGCCAACTCAAGGGAGGTGGGCTCTGGGGAAGCCGCCATGCAGCTGTGTGAGCAGGCAGCAACCTTAGCACCAGGCATCTTCTCACAGCACACATGGACAGCGTGACCAGAGAGAAGTCTGGGTATGCAAAGCCCAGTGACAATGGTCACCTCAAAACACCCGGCACACAGCCTTCAGCAAGGCTCTCTGCCATCTGTCCCACTCTTGAGCAGTTTGAATTAGAAACACATCCATCCATAGGCAGGCTGAGCCCCAGACTGTTGACTACCCTGAGAACAGTAATGCAGAGATGGTAGCACAATTATTCTGTAGTGCTTTTGGGTCTCAAATTCTACCCAACTGCAGCTGTTAGGTTAAAGCCAAAAAACGGAGGAAAGGTTAGCAAATGGATAGAGGCACCACCCTCTCCTGGTCTGGGGCAGCTCCCCACCCAGCTGTTCTCCCTAATGGGTCCACACTCAAAGTCAGGAGGACTGGACACTTGAAAGGATGGGTGCTCCAATCACACACAGCCTCCAAGGTGAAGTCTGCAAGGCTGCTGCCAATTGAGGCTCATGAAGACAGCCTAATGGGCAGGGTCTGGGGTGAGCTCTCACTCCATCAGCAAGAACACCAGGCTGCCAAGGGTTCAGAGGCCAACCAAACAAAGACAGGGAGAACAACGAGACACCCACCAACAAGGTAAGCAGTGGGGTGTCCCACACCACGATACACAGAAGCACCCAATCAATGAGATGAATGAAAAGGAATACACCTTCAGGTGCTCTCGAGTGTGCCTCCTAAGACCTTTGGTCACTGCTGGTGAAGGTGCGAAGAGATGAAATGGATTACAGAACACACGCTGGCCACACTTCCCTGAATTCAACTACACTTGACTACAATGCTCTGTTAAGGAAATAACACACACAGAAGCACTGTGAGCCACAAGAAAGATGGAAACAGTTGCGAAGCTCTGAAGGGGGAAATTGAAAGCCTGTGACCATCTCAGAGCCACATGCTAGGTGCTGCATGGCAAAGCCACATGGAGAGTGGACCTCAAAGCTGAAGCACAAGAAAAGCTCACAGCAACCAGTCCTCAACACCTGTCCCTCAGGCTGACAGAATGAGAGGCTTCTATGTTTCCTTTCTTACTTTCTTTATACTCTTAAGCTTTTCTTTTTTTTTCTTTTGAGAGAGAGAGAGAGAGAGAGAGAGAGAGAGAGAGAGAGACATTTTTTAATATTTACTTTTTAGTTTTCGGCAGACACAACATCTTTATTTGTATGTGGTGCTGAGGATCGAACCCAGCGCCACGCACATCCCAGGCAAGTACGCTATTGCTTGAGCCACATGCCCAGCCCAATACTCTTAAGCTTTCCTTTGTTTTATAAACACTCCCTGGTGATCTCTGTCCTTGGAGAATGTGGAAGGCAGGACATGCACAGAGAGAGCTCCTCATCACTCAAGAACAAACGGCTCCCTTCTGAACACTTTCTCAATGGGACCGAATTTAAAGTCCTATCCTATCAAGGTTAACCTCTTCTTGCACTTCTATCCACCTCTTTTTGGAGTTCTTACCAATAAACCACAGAAGTGACTGGGTCTATCCTGGGCCCACAACACCCAGTGACAGGTGTGCTGCAATGCCCACCCCTTGCCCACCTGTGTGGTGTGAGCTCCAGTGCCCTCTGCCCACGATGCGTCGGTTCTCCTTCATGCAGGCCTTGCAGACCACTGCTTTCAGGTTGTGGAATCTGGTGAGCCAGGACCTCTGCAAACAGATCAGATGCAATTGAGAGCTAGTTCTGTGTCACATAAATAGCAAGGTCACACCCACGAGGGGCCCTGTGCCCAAGGACACTGCACCAGCAAGGATGGAGGCCTGACAAGAGGGCTTGGAAGTCTGCTCCCTCATACCCGCTGGCAAAGCATCAGCATGCAGCTGTGCCTGTTTCCTCTTCCATAGGTTAAACCGACCTGTAGCCCTGCTGTAACCAGCTGGGTGACTGCCACACAATCTGGCTGAAAAGCCTGTGCAATTAACACACCTTGTTTCCCATCTCCGTGCAAGAGCACTCACTGGGAAGACCAAGGTCACAGATAGCGGCAGATGGGGAGGCAGCACGCTCTCTCCTTGCAGCCTCCTCTTACGAGTGAGCACTCTGCCTTGTATGCCTGGATCCTTGGGCACTGGGTTCGATCCTCAGCATCATACAAAAATAAAATAATGACCTGTCCACCGAAAACTAAAAAACAAACATTAAAAAATTTTCTCTCTCTTTAAAAAACAAACCAAACAAACCTGCTGTCACCTGTGCTGGCCAGGGACCAGGTACAAGAAAGAGGCCTGTGACAGGACTCCCAGCAGCACCCTCTGGCTGTCTCCTGTAGCCTCTGTGTCAGTGATGCCCACTCCGAGGCATGCTTTTCCTCTTATTCTGCTTTTGCTTTCTGCTCTTCATTTGGGCTGCTCCCAAGTTCTGAATACTTAATAGCCCTATACCACCCTGGACATTTTTTTCTTTTTTCATTGAAAAATGATGGTGGATGCATTACCAAATGTTTCCCCTGAAACACTCCACATGAGCTAGGTGTGAACCTTACTTAGAAGTCTTGCAGGGATGGGCAGCAATGGTGCTTAGAAATCTGGAGCAGCACATGACTTCAACAATATGGGGAGCCTCACTCTCCCTCTGCCGGGAGAGTGAGCTGCAGTGCACGTCTGGTGCTATGGAGAGCAGCCATGGAAACAGCCAGTGCCCCAAGGTCAGCCTGGGATGGTGGGGAGGTTTCTGGGGAGCACGTTTGTTTTCCTAAAGCAACACGCCCATTAGGACTGACAGCTAGTTTGTCTTCCGATGTCAACTCCAGGACTCTGCAATTTCAGGTTGCTGGATTTGTTTTCGAACGTGCAAAAACCAGAACTCACATTTTGTTCCAAAAGAGCCTCCACAGAATATCCTTTTTCAGACTGTAGGTACTTCAGATGGAAAAGCTTCCCATCAAACACGTTCCAGGGCATGAACTCACTTGTCTTCCAGGGGAAGCCACATGCACTATTGACCAGGGCGAGCGTGGTGAGGCCACGGACAAGAAGGGAACCCAGCTGCACAGCTCTGGGGCTGATGTACTCGAGCTGCAGAGACAGAGTGAGGAACAGCAGTCAATACCTGGGGCAGTCAGTAGTGGCCACCAGGTCAGGCCCCGTGGTCTCTGCTACCTTTACCATAAATAAACTTAATTTAATCAAACGCYTTTTGGAATCCATTCATGTAACCACTTTTCCCCTCATCACTGTGTTAAGAAAGCGAACCATGGTAATTTTTTTTTAATATTTATTTTTTAGTTTTAGGTGTACACAATATCTTTATTTTACATTTATTTTTTAAAAATATTTAGTTTTTAATTTTAGGTGAACACAATATCTTTATTTTGTTTCTATGTGGTGCTGAGAATCGAACCCAGTGGCTCAGCATGCTAGGCGAGCKCATTAACACTTGAGCCACATCCCAGCCCCTTTATTTTACATTTATATGGTGCTGAGGATCAAACCCAGTGCCTCGTGCATGCTAGGCAAGCGCTATACCACTGAGCCACAACCCCAGCGCTCCCCCCCACCAACCATGGTAATTTTCAAGTGTTAAATCAACCTTGGATTACAAAAATAAATCTGCTTGCCTATCATGTCCCATAAACGTTTACATATTACTAGAGTCAATTTGCTTTTTTTTTCTTGGAAATTTGAATTATTTTTCATGAAATAGGGCTAAAATGTTCATTTTTCATCATGCTGCTGTTAGATTTTGGTATCAAGGTTCAGCTGAACTCATAAAAAGTGCTTAGAGAGCCTTCCCTTACCCAGCTGCTCCTCAGGGGTCTGGGAAACTCACAGGAGCCCTCTGGCCTGGAGGTCTCTGTGGAGCAAATTTTCTACAGACAATGGCTCAAGCAGCCTGTCTCCTCACATGTCACTGGCACCAGGCCCAACACCCGTAGAGAGGGTTCCATTGACCTGAGCTCTCCTGTAGCAGCAGGAAGTTCTCCCACTGCATCTTTATGTGAGCAGTGTGCTATGTACACTCCTTCTACTGGCAACTCAACTTCTCCAATTCTTACAGATTCTCAGAGGTTACTGATTTTACTAATTTTTTTTTCAAAAAATTCTTTAGATACATCCTGCAACTACATGCAGAGCCAGCCCTGCTCTAAACACCCCACCAGGGATTGACTGTCTATCAAAATTAATGGGCCTACTAACTCGCCAACCAACATCCATAGCTTTCAGGAGAGCTCACTCTATGCTGTAGATTCCATGGTTCTGACAAATGCATAATGACAAAATCCCACCAATAAGTGTCACACAGAGCTGCTCCCTACTCTAGAAGTCCTGGGCGGCCTCACTCCTCCTCCTCCTCCACCTGAGGACCTGTGRCCATGCAGGGTCTCACACACAGAGCAATTTCAATCAGCGTCAGTTTTAGGCCATTCCAGCCCTCAGCAGTGAACAACAGGAAAAAAAGGGGAAGGGGTTGAAAAGCACCAATCCTTTTCTTTTCTCTCTCAGCCCCAAAAGAACTGGAAAGGACAGTCTGGCACAGCAGTGAGCACCCACCCATCCTTGTCCAGTGTTCTGACCACTTGAGTGGGGATGACTCTTCCGTTAGCCATGTGTCTTCAGGACCTCGCTGTGCTCACTGGTCCATGGATACACATGTACATATCCATATTTGTTTCTCTCTCAGTTTTAGCATTTTTATGATAATTACTTTTTCTTATCTTTTGAGGGTTAGGGCTTTTGTTTTGCATTTTTTTCCCTTATTTTTCTCTCCTCCTCTTTTCAGCTAAATTCTCTTATTCTTTCTCTCTTCATTTACTTTTTTTTTCTATTTTTATCCTCCTACTTTATAATCACCACTTGCCACATCTCTTCTGTATTTACTGTTCACATTTTGAACACTCTAAACTCTTCTATCTTCTTACCACATTTTATTTTCTCTTAATGAATTTTTTAAATAGTTTTTTTAGAACTATTTGGTTTATGTGACTCCTTTCCTCACCACTCATGTTATTGCAGTTATTAGTGCTGTGGAAGACAGTTGATACCTGCTTTTTATTTCAATGCCAGATCTAGTTCATGGTCATTTATTGTTTTTGCTGCTGGCAACCCTACCATTCCTGTTTTTGTGGTAATTGGTGTTGTAGATGTCGTAGTAGCAACAGGTATTTGTTTTAATGCCATATGCTGTTTGCTTTTGTTGTTGCTGTTTTGTTCCCCTTTTCTGTGAGATTTTGGGACTCCACAGGGACACTGCGAGTTCACAGGATGGAGAGTCTACTGCTAAGCTCAACTCAGCCAAAAGACAGCACACCTTGCGCCCTACACAGATGACATTCAAACTCTACTGCACTCCAATATAAAAAAAAAAAAAAAAAAAACAACAAACCCCCAACTAACAATTAGGGTGGAGTGGTAGCTCTCCAGTCCCACTCATGGACATCCACTGCCACGGCAAAACCAGAGTTAACACCAAGGCTGGGACACCAAACCTAGGAAGAGGTCTCAGTCTAGATTGTGTGAGGACACACTGGCAAGAGAAGGCCCATACATGAGAGAGAAAGAGAAGTTCATTCCAACAGATGCCTAAACCCCAACAGAGGAAATCAAGAGAGATGAAAATACAAGGTAACACAACACTTCCTAAAGTTCACAATTCACCAGCAAGTGACTCTAAAGATACTGAAGTGAATGCAATACCAGATAAAGAATTTTAAAAAATGGTTGTGTAAATGACCAATAAATTCCGAGAAAACACACACATACAACTCCATCAATGAAGTCAGTATAGGATATGAACAATAAATTCGATAAGGAGAGATACAGAAATCTTGGAAATGAAAGATAATAATAAATCAAATGAAGTGTTCAGGTTAATGTCTAACAGATCATGCTAAAGACATAATCTCAGAGCTGGAAGACAAAACGCCAACCTTGAACATTCAGACAGTATTAAAGAAAGAAAGAAACCAGACCAGAATATGCAAGAACTCTAGGACAGTAAGAGACCAAACTAAAAATCACTGGAATTGAAGAGGATGATGAAACACAGACTAATGGCATGGATAACCTCTTTAGGGAAATAATAACAGAAAAAAATTTAAACCTTGAGAATGAGATGGACCTCCAGATACAGGAAGCATTCAGAACCCCAAATAGTCACAATCAAAAAAGAACCACTCTGTGATACATTAAAACAAACAAATCAAGAACAGAATTTTAAAGGCCTCGAGAGAAAACATCAGAACACATTTAGAGGCAAGCCAGTCAGAATTATTTCTGATTTCTCAGTAAAAACTCTTAAAGTGGGGCTGAGGCTATAGCTCAGTGGCAGAGTGCTTGCCTAGCATGTGTGAGGCACTAGGTTTGATCCTTAGCACTGCATAAAAACTAAACAAATAAAGGCATGATATCCATCTACAACCATTAAAAAAAATTAAAAAAAAAAACTATAAAGTGAGGAGGGCTGGAATGCTGGGTTGAAGCTCTGAAAGAARATAACTGTCAACCAACATTGCTACATCCAGCAAAGATATCCTTCAAAACTGAAGGGAAATAAAAATCTTCCAAGATAAATAGAAACTAAAAGAATTCCTTGCTACTAAGTCAGCACTAAAAAACTTATTTAAAGAAACACTTCAAACAGAATAAAAAAACCTCCAGAGCTCACAAATGACAAATCTTATCTAAAGGGTGGTTAAGCAAATGAGAAACAAAACCAAATTAAACATTAGATATGAATCAAATGATAGGTATTTATACACAGCTCTCTCTAATAAAAATGAATGTAAATTTCAATTCTCCAATTAAAAGACACATTGGCAGAAGGGATTAAAAAACAAGACCCAACTATATGTTATTTTCAAGAGATGCACCTTACAGGTAAAGACCACCACCGGCTGAAAGTAAAAGAATGGAAATTGATMTACCATGCAAATGGAGCCCCAAACCAAGCTGGAGTAGCTACTCTCTGACAAAGCAGGCTTCAAGCCAAAATTCCTCAAAAGAGACAAAGAAGGTCACTCCATACTGGCAAAGGGAACAAAAAGATGTAACAATAGTTAATATTTATGCCCCAAACATTGGTGCACTTAGTTACATAAAACAATATTCAAATTAAAGATTCAGACTCCAATACAATAATATTGGGTGGTTTCAACATACTTTTCTCACTGAAAGATAGGTCATCCATACATAAACTCAATGAATAATCTTCAGACTTGAAAAAATATTATAAATCTGACTTAACAGAAGTTAAGTCATCTAAGTTAAGTCTATCTCTCTACTAATAAAATTAGTAATAAAAAGCCTTGCAACAAAGGAAAGTCCAGGACTGAATGGATTCTTAGCTAAATTCTATTAGACCTTTAAAAAAGAACAAATGCCAACATTCCTCAAATTATTCCATAGAATAGAAACTTCAAAATTCATTCAAGCAACATTTTCAAATTCATTCTGTGAAGCCGGTATCAAAAGCATATCAAAACCAGGTAAGAAAACCTCAAGGAAAAAAAAAAACAAACTATGAACCAATATCCCCAATGAAATTATGACGCAAAAATCCTGAATAAAATATTAGCAAATTATAATCAAGACTACATTAAGAAGATTGATTATCATAACCATTTGGTTTTAACCGAGAAATGCAAAGATGGTTTAACAAACGCAAATCAATAAATTAATGCATCACATAAATACAATTAAGAAGAAAAATCAATTATCTCAAAATCAGCCTCCACTCATGATAAAAACACTGAAACAACTAGGGACAGAAGAAACTCACCTCAACATCATAAAGCTATATATGACAAACCCAAAGCCAACAACACAGCAAATGAGGTAAAACTAAAAGCATTTCCTTTAAAATCTGGAACAAGACAAGGATGTCCACTCCATCCATTCCTATTCAATATAGTATTAAAAATTCTAGCCAGAGCAATTAGGCAAGAGAAGGGGCGAAAAAAAGGATAAAAATAGAAAAAGAAGCAGTTAAATCATCACTGTTTTCAGATGACATGATCTGATAATTAGAAGATCCAAAATGTTCCACCAGAAGACTGCTAGAGCAATATGCAAATTCA